ATATATATTGCTTTATTTCATGGTACTAAAGAGTAAATGTCTTGAGAGAATCTCTTGAAAATGAAAACACAAGGGTTCATTTTCAATTAGATACCATTTTATTTTATTTCAAGCTACTCTGATTTAACTGTAAATACATCTGACAAGTATTGATTTATTTTTGCCTTTTCTGATAATTAAATCGGAGTATTTGATACTGAGGGGGAAAAACAGCAGCCACATGATGAAATGCTCTGGAGCTTTCTGGTTCATAAGCCATAAATTCTAATCATTGAGAATTATAGTGAGAAAAGAAAAATGGAGAAAAGCAAATAAAAAGTACTTCTGTAATTGAAGATTAATGCAATCAATATCAGCGTGAAATTGGCGGTTTCAATATCAATATCACTATGAAATTGTGGTTTTGTGTGTGAATGATTGTATTGTGTGTATGCTACAGTATTTATCTTTTTAAAAGAGGCCATCTTCTCTTTCTTTTCCTTTGAAGAAATTAAGATATTCTTTTTCATTCTTTTCAGATTATGGATCAATATGTCAAAACGGATGTGAATTGAAGGTTTGTGAACACTGAGGGCCCTAGTCGGGCCTGCACGTTAACACTGCTAAGTGCACTTTGTCTACTTTTGATTAGTGCTGACTTTAGGCCTACACAATGACTTTTAACTAGACTTAAATGACCCTGACATTAATGACCCTATATACCCCTAATGAACTCTCTGCTGTACAGCACTACACATGGCTGCAATTTATAGATACTTTGATGACTTGGCCCCACTGTAGCACACCTGGATCCCACTGAAGGTTTTTTAAGCTAAACAGTAGCCTTATTGTTTTTTTCGTAGACCAGTATTCGGGCCTTAGCGACTCCATTTATTGTTCCGATTTGTGTATTTAGATTTTGAAAAAGAGTCGGCCGTAATGCAGGCCCTCTCCCTCTCTCAGTGAATGATGAGTAAATTACCCCAAATGCATAGCAGTCATGTATGTCATAGAGAGCTCTGTTACACTTTAGGAGCACATCACTAAGAGAGCCGACTCATTTTAGTTTTCGATTAGTTCTATTGTTAGTTCTAACTTCCTTTACTATTCACAATGAGCTTCTCAATGCGGAACGGCGCACATCTAATCTGGATAGGCTTGCTGGTTTGTTGCCTTGTCGACATGGGGGCCAGCATGGAGTTCACCGGCGCAGAAGGCCAGTGGGCAAGGTTTCCTATGTGGAACGCCTGCTGTGAAAGCGAAATGAGTTTCAACATGAAGACCAAAAGCGCTCATGGACTTTTAGTGTACTTTGACGACGAGGGATTCTGTGACTTCTTGGAACTGCTCATCCACAACGGAAGACTCAGTTTGCGGTTCTCCATCTTCTGCGCCGAGCCGGCGACGGTGCTCTCCGATACCGCCGTCAACGACAGCCGCTGGCATGCTGTGACCTTGCGCAGGAATTTCAAAAACACTACGTTAGTTGTGGACGAAGAGATCAAGTGGGTGGAGGTTAAGTCAAAAAGGAGGGACATGACGGTCTTCAGCCATTTATTCTTAGGAGGGATACCTCCTGAACTGCGATCTGTAGCATTACGCCTCACATCTTCAGCCATCACAGATCAGGTCCCCTACAAAGGATGGATAACCAATCTGAGGGTGAACAGTTCTGAGCCGCCGCTTATCGGTAGCGAGGGAATCAACAGCGACATTTGCGAAGACGACCACATTTGCCTGAACGGAGGAGTCTGCAGCATCGTCAACGACGAGCCCACTTGTGACTGCTCCGAAACGGGATTCCAGGGAAAAGACTGCAGTGAAGGTAAGAGGCCTGGATTCATCGTCTCCGTTGTTGAAATGTCTTTTCAAACACAGCCCTTTCACTTCTTTTATCGATTTTAACATTGCACTAGTTCCTCAGAGGCAGTGCATGCTACATCATGTCTGTTCCCGGCCTCCACTACAGGCCTAGTACATTACATGATTAGATTACCTCTGATTTCAGTCAGAGAAAGCCGTTGATCTGAAGGAGATCATTTAAATAGGCATTAGTGCCATCTGTGTCAATTCCGGAGCATCCACGAAAGCCTGTGTTTTTGATAACATGACGTCAGCAGAGGCTTCTCGCTCTCTTTTTTATGCTAAATTAACTTAATATACTCTTGACACTGCACTGGCATTACAATTAAATCTGAAAATGACGAGTTGAATACATGCACACAAGCCCATGATTGGAGTATGAAGATTTGAATATTATTCTCCCTCCGAATTTAAGGGGTTGGTTGCTCTAATTACATAATTAGCCAGATGTTTCATAGCGTCACTGTAATGACTTAGCCAAAGTTGCAATTTCAACATCACAGGAAAAATAATGACATACTCAATACAGCATTCAGCAGCCATCACAAAGCATTTATTAATTCAGCTTTACAAGTAAACCTCCACTACTGCACTTACAGAGTTATTTTAATTACAGAAGCGATTAGAACGATTGATGATGTAACTAAATAGGGGGAGGCCGTCTCTGCTTCTATCTTTTGAAAATGGATGGTTGTGCCCATATTACAATGATTCAGATTTTCATATAAAGTCTGTTCCCTTTTGAATATGTATGTTCTGGTTGGTTTCCTAGTTTGACTTACTCCCTTGGTGTCCGATTTCACTGTTTTTATGTTCTTTCCATCTTTTTCTTCATTTTTACAACCGTCTCTGTGGACTGATCTTGATGTTGATGGATATTGTCTGGGTTAGGCCGTAAGCCAAAGAGGCACCATGTTGCCAAGGAAACTACATACCCACTGAGTAAATTTTGCCCTCCTAAAGCACAACAGAGAGACAGTACGTTTCACTGACAAATGTTCAAACTAGAATAGCAGTCGTTTCGTGGTACGGTGTTCGCTGGACTCTCAGCGAAATGCATCGTCCAGTGGATTTGATGAGATTATGACAAAAGGGCAGGGCCCGCAGATGCTCAGCAGCTTGCTTAAAAGCGAGACGTGCCGCTCTCCAGCCCTTGTGCTGGTAGAAATGCGCATCTTTGCCGGGTGAGTCAGAACAGACCTGCCCACGCAGCTTTGAGTAAGGATATGTGGAGATGGTGGAGGCCACGGGACGTGTCGCTCTGAATCATTAGTGTTATTTATTTAACATTGGAGGATCTTGACGCTAGCGGTGTTAGGCGTTCGAGCTGCCTGCTTTCTTTTTTCACTTTAGACTGTTTTATTGGTCTGTTTTTGGTGAAATTTGGTGCAAAGAATATTTAAATAATCTAAAGAACATTTTTGCACTATTAAGAACATTTTGTGCAATGTAATGGTTAAAGGTTGTTTATGGAACCATAGATTCCAATTAAGAACCTTTATTTTTAAGAATGTACGATCCCTCCTTTTTCTGCCTGAAATGTGCAGATGAACTTTCGTTATGTCTTCGGCTGTTTTTGTTATTAGCACGATGACAAATCTCCAAATGGCACTATGCAGGACAGGAGAGCCATTATGAAGGCTTAATTCCTCAAATGAAATAGTCATAGAGCCAACGTGCTGTTCATTAAAACAACAGCATCATTTTAAACTCCTCTTAGCCTAAATCTGTCCTTGCTTCGGTTATTAATGCAAATCTGGCCCACGAAGCTCCTGCTGAGGGGAAAGCAGGCCAATTTTTGTCATTTTGTGTGTTGTCAGTTTCATGACCGAGGTGATCTGTCAACTGACCACCGATAGCCGTTGCCAGTAAAATGCCCAGACTCGTATTTTACGTGGATAAAAAAGGGATAGCTGCATATTAAATGGCTCATTGATGAATGGCTAGCTTTTTCATTTGGATATATATGTGCTGCTCGCGTTATCTCCGTCGTCATGGAAAAATTTGCTGTACCGTGAGAGCGTGTGTACGTGTTTGCAGATCTCAGGCAGGAAAGGGTGGTATGTGGATTAAATATGTCCTTTCTCTCCGCACGTCCACTCTGTTATTCTCTCGACAGGCAGTTGTAGTAATAACCTTCTTTAGCAAAGCAGGTGTGGGGCTCTCAGCGGGAGAGGCAGTCCGCACCGCAAAGAATAACAGTGCTATGGGTAATGAGATATTTTTGCCCTGCTGGGGTTAGAGAAAGGGCCTTATTTTGTGTTATTATGGTTAATGCTCTTACAAGTCTGAATTGGAAAGCCAAAAGGGTCTGCTCTGTATCAGCTTGCAGCCATTGATACCTTATCTTTATGCTCTATTAACTGTATAATGTGCTCCGTCTCCCTGGTTAAAGATGGCTGTAAGGGATCTGCAATTGACGTCCATGCGGTTTCGTATGCTAGGAGACTTTGGTTGGAGAATTGGATTGTGTTGGAGGGCTTGTTTACAACAGCGATTAGATTGTTTCACCTCATCTCTTATCTTTTGTGGTGGAGCTAACGTCGTAAGGGTCGGTCCCTGGCTGTTCGCTGTCGTTTAATGATGCAGTCATGTTGTAAATGCATTTTTTTACCTCTGCTATTGGGCCTATGCAAATTAATTAGGGTGGTGTAGTGCAGTGTACGCCCATTAACCTCTTGCTAATGAAATAAAGGGCCTGGTTTAATTAGATACATCAGCATATTAATTTTAGTGACTCATTTAATCATGTCACCAGGGGCCTGTTTGAAGTTGACAAAAGATAGATATTAAAAGGATAGTTCAGAAAAAAAAATCACAATTATGCCATTTACTTGTCCTTATGTCATTCCAAACCTGTATGACTTTCATTCTTCTGTGAAACACGCAAATTTTTAAAAATTGTTCCATTTAATGAAAATCAATAGAGGCCAAAAACATTTGGACCTTGTTGATTTTCACAGTATGGACAAAAACATATTTTTTGTTCCAAAGAACAAAACAGTCATACAGGTTTGAGTAAATGATGACCGAATTTTTATTTTAGATGAACTGTCTCTTTAAATCAACAGACATTTATATAATCTGTACGTTACAATACCTACAGTACATAAAATAAGCAAATACTAACAAAATAGGCCAAAAACTGGAAATGGATTAATTCACTAGGCCACTTCAGTATAAAATCACTTGACTAATGGACCCCGTTGACTTTCGTCATATATGTAAAAAATCATATAGGTTTGATTAAATAATAGCAGAGATTTTATTTTAGGTGAACTGTCCCTTTAAGACATTCTTGAAATCTGTACATTACAATACATACATAAATTAAGCAAATACTAATAATCCAGATCAAAAACAAGAAACGGATTAATTCAATAAGGCTCACCAGTAGGGCTGTGCGATATTGAAGAAAAATGCGATATGCGATACCTTGTTAAAAAATGCGATATTCGATATGTGATGCGATATTGCTTAAAGTGTGTCAAATCAATTTAAATTATATTTTAAAATATTTAAAATAGAAAATTATATAACCAATTTGTTTCACATTCTTTGTAATGTGAATAAATAATAAAGAATCACTATAACTTCTGAAAGTGACCAGCAGGGTTTTAGCATTACTTAAAAAGTAATGTCACAAATCAGAAAATGTAATTTAACATCAATGTGAACATACAAACAAAAAAATTTATGACACTAAATTTATATCATGTAACTTTGCTTTCCACACACTTTAAGTACTTCTTCATATACCACAGCAAAAACTATAGTCCGAGAAATTTCAAACATGATTAAAGGCAAGTAAACAGTCAGTAAAAAAAAAGAAAAAAAAAGAAATACACAATTTACAAGCATAGATAAAATAAACAGTAGTATTCAGGTACAGAAATTTAATAATTAAGTGTAAAAAACACTGCATAGTTTTCACTTTAGATTTAGATTAATCTTTGTTATAGCCGTTTTGTTGTTTAGTTAACATTAGTGACATATTAAGCAGCACGTATTTATAGGCTGCTGTCCCTTTAAATCCGACAGCACGGATCCAGTATAATGATACACATCCGATTTCTTTCTCAGCTGTTTACATTCATTTAAAACATTTACAAGAATGATCATCGAGACATAATTCTGTGTGTATGTATCTGTTCAAACATGAGGAGATGCGAAAGACGAATCAACTTGCTCTGAAACGCGTCTCTCTGTGTGTGTGAGATGCGGCTTGTGCGCACGCTTCAGGTGTGAGTCAGACCACAAGACGAGACAGCAAAGAGTTGTTTTCTGCAACTTATTGCACTTAATAACTCTTTTTAACGCCAAGCAATTCTCTGCTATATGCGTCGAACTAAAACTTTGACCTTTTGCAACGTTTTGATTTAAGTAGCCTATTATTAAAATGATAATGATATCGCATGCCGTTGCGATATGCTTATTGCGATATTTACATTTGCGATATTTCGATAATTTCGATATATCGTGCAGCCCTACTCACCAGTATGAAAATCTCTTATGGGATTATTGAACCCCATCGACAAACTGTATGGACAAAACTGATTTTGTGCTCCATAGAGCAAAATAGTAATACAGGTTTGAGTAAATAATGACATCATTTTTATTTTGGGTAAACTGTCCCTTTAAGCCAAAATAAATTTTTGTAATCTGCACATTACAATACCTAAATAAATTAAGTGAATGCTAACAATGTAGGTCAAAAACAGAAAATGCATTAGGCGTGCCAGTATAAAATCTCTTGACTATTATAATATCTATTGACCCTCCCCGTGTCTTGCAATTGACTTTTAGCTTCCTTGATCCGGCAACATCGCTTGATAATCTTGAATGGAGGGGGAGCCCGTGTCAAATACACTGTATATTGAGAATTCCCCTATCAGTGTCGGATGAACCCTTTCCAGATGGACTAAGCTCACTAATCTCTCAGTACTGTAGATGACTGCAATATGGAACATGCTGCACATTGCTCCCTGTGGGGGAAATGTTAAACTAGATTTGGTGAAGAGGATTAAAATCCCCATCACTGGCGCAATGACAATACACAGCAAAAACTATAGTCCGAGAAATTTCAAACATGATTAAAGGCAAGTAAACAGTCAGTAAAAAAAAAGAAAAAAAAAGAAATACACAATTTACAAGCATAGATAAAATAAACAGTAGTATTCAGGTACAGAAATTTAATAATTAAGTGTAAAAAACACTGCATAGTTTTCACTTTAGATTTAGATTAATCTTTGTTATAGCCGTTTTGTTGTTTAGTTAACATTAGTGACATATTAAGCAGCACGTATTTATAGGCTGCTGTCCCTTTAAATCCGACAGCACGGATCCAGTATAATGATACACATCCGATTTCTTTCTCAGCTGTTTACATTCATTTAAAACATTTACAAGAATGATCATCGAGACATAATTCTGTGTGTATGTATCTGTTCAAACATGAGGAGATGCGAAAGACGAATCAACTTGCTCTGAAACGCGTCTCTCTGTGTGTGTGAGATGCGGCTTGTGCGCACGCTTCAGGTGTGAGTCAGACCACAAGACGAGACAGCAAAGAGTTGTTTTCTGCAACTTATTGCACTTAATAACTCTTTTTAACGCCAAGCAATTCTCTGCTATATGCGTCGAACTAAAACTTTGACCTTTTGCAACGTTTTGATTTAAGTAGCCTATTATTAAAATGATAATGATATCGCATGCCGTTGCGATATGCTTATTGCGATATTTACATTTGCGATATTTCGATAATTTCGATATATCGTGCAGCCCTACTCACCAGTATGAAAATCTCTTATGGGATTATTGAACCCCATCGACAAACTGTATGGACAAAACTGATTTTGTGCTCCATAGAGCAAAATAGTAATACAGGTTTGAGTAAATAATGACATCATTTTTATTTTGGGTAAACTGTCCCTTTAAGCCAAAATAAATTTTTGTAATCTGCACATTACAATACCTAAATAAATTAAGTGAATGCTAACAATGTAGGTCAAAAACAGAAAATGCATTAGGCGTGCCAGTATAAAATCTCTTGACTATTATAATATCTATTGACCCTCCCCGTGTCTTGCAATTGACTTTTAGCTTCCTTGATCCGGCAACATCGCTTGATAATCTTGAATGGAGGGGGAGCCCGTGTCAAATACACTGTATATTGAGAATTCCCCTATCAGTGTCGGATGAACCCTTTCCAGATGGACTAAGCTCACTAATCTCTCAGTACTGTAGATGACTGCAATATGGAACATGCTGCACATTGCTCCCTGTGGGGGAAATGTTAAACTAGATTTGGTGAAGAGGATTAAAATCCCCATCACTGGCGCAATGACAATACATCAATGACGTAGCGCTATATTTAGAAGCTTTTACAATAAGTACTCTTGTTTTGGGTATATTTACTAGTGGTTTCTGCTTTACTGTCTAATATTTAGTCAAATGTGAATTGGATGCTTCTTTAGGTATCAAATGCAGAGGAACCTGTACCGCACATTCACTCCATTCCAACCGGACAGTCATTATCAGAGTTTTTTTATGTTTTATTCAATCGTTGTTGACAGCCACATCTTTAGTGACTTTGCCGCAGCGGCAATGCGGAGCGTACGCTCGTCATACGATCCCTTTGGGCGAGTTGCACGCGTGTGCGTTTGAGAGTAACATGCTCTGACTTACTGAAAACTGCTTTAAACGAGCATCTGGAGCTGCAGTCCTGTTTGTAAAGGGCTGCATGAGTGCGGGCGTCACATCGTGTTTGCCCCCTGCCTGTGCCGGCCCATGTCGAGTAAGGGCGAGCGTGTGTGCGTGTAGGTCATCCTCAATTTCTATCTCTTATTCTCTGCCAAATTCGGGGCAGTATGCAAGGCCAGCACTTAAAAGAAGCTGTCAGCTCGATGAAAGCCTGCATGTCGCTGGCTCCGTGTGAGCTCTGCAGTGCTAAGGAGAGGCTACATGATCCTGATCTGTCAGTCAGTGAAATGTAAATACAACCGCTGTTCAGTCAGCCGGCCTCGGAGAAGACCAGGCTGTGCGTATATGTGTGTGTGGTGTTCTTCCAAAATGGCTGCTGCTTCCACACACACACATAATGTCTACATTTCGTAGATGAGTTGAAGCACAAATTCAATAAAGTGGGTTCTTTAAACTGCTGTAGAGTCAGTGCAGATGGCTAGTTAGTGTTTTGTGATGGTTTAAGCTAATTAAACTTTAGTAGCATTATTTTTATCCCTCCGAGCTGTTTTTTGTCAGTGGGATGAGTTTGCACATTTGTCAAAGCAAGTAGGGTTTGTCAGTCTCTTCATAAGCTGATAAGAGAGGATAGAAAATCACCTGCCATTTATCACTGCAACACTAACAGCAAAATATTTCTTTGTCATATTTTCTGGCATGACACGCTTTTCTGTTTATTTATTTATTTTTTTCTCCTTTTGGTTTGTTTATTCATACATTCATCAGCATTTTTGTTTTCGTGGCAGTAGTGGTGCATGCAATTTGTGTTTGGTCGGGTGGAGGAACCGGCTGCGGTAAGTCCCGGGTCATTATTCTCCTCCTCAAGATGCAAAACATGGAGGTAGGATTGGATGCTTTAATTTTAAGATAGCCAAGTCCATTTTTAGGGAGTCTTGGGTGAGTTGATCCAGAGACTGAAAGTGTCACCAGAAGTAAAAGGTGTGTTGAATGAATGCATGAATGAAGGTAATGTACCCTTTTTGTTTTAGAACAGAAAAGGTCATTTGAAGTTAAAGAAATGTAAATTTCAATGTAAACGGGTTAATAACATGACATGCATATGCATATTCAGGTATTGTACATTTCTTTATTACTGACCTGACTGAATTATGTTGTTTTCTCTTAGTAGGTTCATATTGCATCATCTACCGACATTTTTATTTCCGAACACGTGCATGCTTCACATCTAGCCCGTGTAAATTCCCCTCACACGCAACCATGAACGCCATTCAAAATGATACATTTGAATTCAAAAGATACAAATTGTCTTTCAAAGTCCATCAAAAAACTGGAAATTTTATTTTTTCCTGAGGGAAAACAGCATATTTATGTTTGAAGTAAAATCGTAGCTGTAAGGGGTTTTTCCGTTTTCCTTTAAATTATGATTTGCATGTTTGCGCATGTTCATTGATATACTGTGAAGAGTCAATTTCACCATGTGTTTTATCTGCTTTTGAATGGCTTAATACTGTGTTATCATCATCTCACCATGGAACAACGCTCTTTCAGAGTACCATAGACTCAATGAGATTAGATCTTGACGAGGACAGAGGACACTTAAAGTAAAATAAACCCTCTAGTCTCCACATTTTCCATGGTAATGAATGTTTGTCCTGGGCACAGGATGATAAGACGCATGGTAACCACGGTAATCCTCAAGGCTGGGCCACCTTCCAGTCTGCATGCTTCTTAATCAATGTCTCCTTCTCTCTCTTCACGCCTCGGCCGCCCCCCCAGAAGAGGCCTATGTAGGAGGTGGGTAGACATTTTTTTCTTTCCTATTTTCTTTTCATCTGACCCCTGTCCCTACTCATGTACTTCTCTCTGTCTTCATATTTCAACCTGTTCTTTTAGAAATATTCTATATTTCCTATTTTATTTGAATACGGTACACAAACAGTAAGTGGAACTGGTGCACAACACAGGTAAAAGGTATGAAACTTCATTCAGCTTTATAATCGAGAGCACTTCCTTAATTAGAGGTTGTCAGTAAACACATGCTTCACTCAAATTGGAGTGCTCTGCCAAGCAGAAACCAGAGGCTGGAGCGAAATGGACGCCAACCTGTTTAAATTCCATCTAAAGATACAGACAAACTACTGTAACTCCGATTATAAACTTCTAAAACCTAGTGAATACATTTCATGGAATCTGACATACATACACATGAAGTGTTCACTATAATGGAAAATCTGGACAGTCTGACAGGTAAGTACCATAGACAAATGACAAAATCTTCTGTTTCTTACTAACAATTCCAAATGCAGTTTATAGTTATCGTTCTCGAGTCATTCTTTTGGAGGTATTACTATATATTTTTGGCTGTGGCTCACAGGAACTTAAACAGACATCCTATGAAAGACGGGGAACATTGATTTATCCCAATATAACCTGTAGGTATTTTGTTATTGCATTGACACATTTTTGTGTGCAACCTAACTTAATTTTGTTAAGATCCAATCTCTGTATGTGTCATCTTCTTCCTGAGGAAGGTTGACCAGGCGGACGACATGTTTGATGTATGGCGACAGCGAAGTGATTTTTTTTCTTTTCTAATCTAGATTTGTCTCTTTCGAGTGTGACCGATAAAGCATTGCAACCGCTGGGTTGAGGAAATGCTTTTTGAATGTTCCCTCACGCCCACTCTCTCCCTCACCTCTTGACCCCAACCCCCCTCCCCCACCCCACACTGCGGGCATCCTCTGTTCAGACGATGCCTGCATGTCAATGTGACAGAAAACCTTCCCATGATCCCGTTCTCTGTGCTGACTGTGCTCTTGTCTTCCCTTAAGGTCTTGCGCACCTGATGATGGGCGACCAAGGTATGGGTTTAATTTCTTACTTACCTTTTTACCTCCATCAGCCACTCCCTCCTCCATCTCTCTGCCTCTCTCTCTCACTGCCTTGTGCTGAATCCTCCTCATCTCCCTTCACTGCTGGTAGGGATTTACTGGGGCTGCTTTATTTCTGGCTTGGCGCTGAATCAATGGATGGTTTGGTCTTTTCCATTTTTTCCCCACCCTCTCCTCTGTCTCTTCTTCTCTCTCTCTCTCTCTCTCTCTCTCTCTCTCTGTCGTTTTGCTCTAGCTTCCCTTCAACCCATCTCGTCACTTCTTTTGCGCTTCGTTTTTCTCTCCGCCATTCTCTCAACAGCCCCGCTATTCCATTGCTGCTTGCCAACTTCATTTTCATATAGAGGGGGAAAAATACTTTCAACCCAGTGGATGATGTGAGTTACAGGGACTTCTCTCAGGGGTTTGTTCACTCTTTGTAAATGTGCTAGTCTGTATTCTCGGGCTCCGAAACTGGAAAGCATTAGCCGTCTGTTCGATATTCATGCATTCTCCCTCATCTCTCTCATCGTCATGTTCTGGCATGTATCACGATAGGAAGCTTCCATCTCCTCTTGCCTGCCCTCTTCTCTTTTTGTCCGCAATGCATGGAGTCTCTTCTGAATGTAACCTTTCGTTTTTCTGTCTCTGAATCTAACACGCAGTCATGATTCTGACTGTTGCCTCTCTCCTCTCCTTTGTATTTTCCTGTATCTCTCTGGACTTTCTCTTCATGGAACCATTATATCAATACCATAGGCAAACGAAAAGGTATATAATGCTTCTTTCATACTATGTAATAATGTAGTTTAACTTGTCTCCATGTATATTCCTGTACCTGTGGCTTTACACATGCATCTGTTTATTTGTGTGTTTGTGGTACTGAAGTCACACTGATTTTTCTGTGTCACTCCCTACAAATATGACGAGGGGCTGGAAGGTAGGTGAGATGTCATGGAAATGCGTCATTGTGCGATGCGTCAACAAATGTGACGTAGGGTTAGGAAGAAAAATTGCACATTTGAATTAGTCTGCTACTGTTGTTTAGTGGTATAGAAAATCAATGCACAGAAAATGTAGATGCGTTATTTTTGGCAACATACCATTTATTAATTCTTAAACACGATTAACCATTTGCCATAATTTACAGTATTACAAAAAAAAAACAGTACTTACATTATCTCAATTATTTTAAAAAAATTGCATAAAATATTGACCACACAAAAGAGTTGACGAAGGCATATTTAAAAGCATTCAATATAAATACAAATGTGTTGTCAGATCATCACACAAATATCAGGTAAGAGCACTTCAAGATATTCAGATTTTCATATTCTGCAGGCAGTTATCTCTTTTAGAGCATTCCATACAGCCTGTACGCACCAATGCATATTAATTTAGTAGCACTTTACTGCTCTTTGATATTAAATTACAATTTTTGAAGAGCCCGGTGAGATCCAGCTAAGGTAAGTGGACGGCACCTGGCACTATCACAACTGCAAGCACTCACATCCTGCTCTGGGCTCACAGACCACTGCATGCTGGTATAGCCACTGAACTTTAAACACACATAGACTGACGGGGTTATTCACCTTGGTTTGAAATGTGGGATCCGTGATAGGCGGAGCAGGTAGGTGTGCTTTCTGTCTTTCGCGGGTCTCTTTGATTGTGCTCTGTAAGGCATTGACACCCAGGCCATCACACTATCCTGAATGGGCTAATGCCCACAGAAGATGTGGGGGCTTCAAGCTTCTCAGCACATTTGAATACATTTTCAGAGGCATTTATATTTTCTCTCATTCCATTTTCTCATAGAAAATTGGTTTTCATCTGTCTGTAAAATTGAATGAAATGGTGCATGTGGTGGCTGACCTTGCCAGCAGGGTCACGCTGGCATTATCAAATGAATTTTGCATTGTGTTATTTTTCTGTGGATATATGTTTGTGTGTGAGGAGCACAGTTGTTATAGAGAAAGGAAATGGAGTGAAATTTGCATTTCTTGTTCATTTATATTCTGTTTACTCTTCTCATAGCATCTTCCTAATTGCACACATTTCGTTACGTGCTTCAGTGAAGTCCTGCAATTAAATTTAAACAATTACAACACAAATTTACCAATAACTGGAGCCTAATTAATTACAAGGCAGCACATAATATAATCAGAGATTCAGGAAAACTTCTGTTTCATCTCATTCCTAATATTGGGATGTTCAGTTGAGCTCTGCACGGCTGAGAATATAAATTACCAGCATGTCTGAAATTTATTGCAAGTCAATAAATATATACATAAGAAATCTCTATTCTTATTACTTTCATGTGCATGTTAAATGGTGAGAAGGCAGTCAAAGTGTGCCAGAACTAAATAACAGAGTAAACCGTTTCAATTGCAGTTTTAAATTTTAATTAAGCTATGACCGAATATGATAACTGAAGTTATGAAAAAAAGGTTTTAGTATTAGCTATTCTGTTTCTCCTAAAGGAGTGTTTGAACGTGAGATAAAGTTCTTAAGTGGAAAAATAGGAAAAGCGCATCTATCACCCTGTGATTTCACATGCTTGTCGTCTTAGCATTCATAATGAAAGTTTGGGCTGGTTTTCACAAACAGCCCCACAAGATTTGGAATGTTACAAAAACAGTCCATGCAAAGTTCCTACAGCAGCCTGAAGAGAAAATTAGTTAATAAAATTCAAAGGAAAAAGCTTGATAATTTAAATTTAAGAACAAAACCTAATGTTAAATAACTATAAATTTCTTTGATTAAGGCCATTTGTTACAGTTACATTGTCAAATATAAATTCTCAGGTAAACTAAACTGTACTTAACTGGTTTTATGCAAGTCAAAAATATACAAGTCTCATCACTAAAACTAATTTTTAAAGGCCAGATCTGGTAGACGTAACTGCATGTATCCTCTTCTTTTACCGGTAGTTTAACTAAGTTTCTCTGTGTTTGTAATCCATATCCCTTTAATATGATACTAGGTCATATGTTTAGAGACCTTTGAAGATCAGGCGTCCTTTGAGCAGTATCCTTGCTTTCAGCATGAATGAACTCTAAGCACTCACATAGACTTTTTTATGTTTATATGTGTGCTTCCCGATGGGAATGCATAAACCCATTTTTACTTGACATTAGCCGGATCGAAGACAAGTGCAAATATCTTATTAAAATAAGTGCCGAACAGCACAGATGAAGTGTGCGTCTGTGAGATTGAGCTTGTCTGCTCTTTGCAGCCGTATTACCGTCGTTCTTATGCTAAGTTGCTTTGGGGAGGATAAAAGAAGTGCGGTAATATGGGTGGTACGCAGAAGACTGGAGGGTCTAATTGCTGTCATTTCACATGGAGAGAGCCTGTGAAGCTGAATTGTTGCTGTAGGCACTGTAAAGCCCGGTTCACAGGTGGGACTACATTGACTCCAAATTAGAATTCTTTAAGTCTAATTGACGTGGCGGCATAAAGAATACCAACAGCTTGGGTATTTATAGTAAATCCTCTGAATTGTAACCTCCTGCACCTGTTTAAATGAGAAATGCTGTGGCAGAAGTGTCAAATTTGTTCTCTTCCTGAAAGGTCTTTGTGCATTAGCTCTTATTTCTGTTGTGAGTGAAATCATCCAGGCAGCTTGTTCCATTTACCATGTTTAGCTTTTGCTATAATCTAGAAAAATGCTGTGCTAGCTGCTTACAATCGTTTCTGCTGTGCCAAGAAATGCACCTCAGATACTATCACTCACTTGTGTCATTGTCACAGATGACCCTGTGTGTGATAGGAAGAAGAAAGCCTGCTGCGACGTGTTGATCAATACGTATTTAAAATCCCATTACGCCTGCCGTTGCACATCAGATGCCTCGTTAATGTAATTACAAAAGTGGAACAGCCTCTTAAATTACTACAACCGTACCTTTGCTGACTTGCCACTGTCGCATTCATTCATATGCTCTGATGTATTAAAAGAAATGCAGAGAAATGGGGGTGGAAAATGCCACCGGGTGTTTGTTGTGAAAAACCTCACTAACCTGCTAGCTAAACCACAATGTCAATATTTAGAAATAAATCAATATCGCTACCTCGTAGACACGGGTGATTAAAGATTAAAAGATGGTAATCTACTTTGTACTTTGGCTTTATGTGAGACTTTGTGTACAGGCTAAAAAAACAAGTACGAACTGACCAACTTTTTATCTTAATTGTAGCGTAAGTCACACAAGGTCACACATTTTGCTTATAAGCACTTCCTGCAATCTAACAGCCGCTCATCCATCACAAATCCCATCACCTTACTCTGTTCTCATTCAGCGCTCTTTTACACAAAACTTCAAATACTTTTTTATAAGGAAGAGAGGCAATGTTTCAGGCATGCTGCCAGTTGGAACTGATGTTGTGTAGCTTGAAGTACCAAAAAAAGCCAAGAAAGAAAGAAAAGAGCGATTTTCTTTTCTTTTTTCTGGAGGAAGAGTATGTTGTGTTATTTATGGATTTAATACTGCCTCCAGACTCGTAGTCTTCATATCTACAAGACGCCAGTCCTATGCTAGACCTTATCTTAAATTGGGTGCACATTTCAATCAAACACAGAGTTTCAGTTGGAATCATTTCGGATGATATTTCGCTCAAAAGATATAAATAAATGGGGAAAAGAGCATTAGAACATCAATGTCAAGTGGCCTAATGTCGTTTTTTTTCTGTAACAGAAGAGTTTTGTTTGTAGGAATTTCCTCTGCTGATTAGCAGTCATGTAATGATGGAGGGGTCATTCTTTCTCGTTCATTTCTGAAGCACTCTCCACAAATCTTTTCAAACCACTTCAGACTGAAAACAAGACTTGCTTCCCAGCAGAAACAATTGAGATAATACAGGTAAAGTGAGACACTTTCTGACAATTCAGAATTCAAATGTGATCCATATGGCTACATCAATATCTCACTATTTTACTGTATGTAATCTTAAAGCTTCCACTTAAAATAAAAATGTCATTATGATGGACAAAACAAGTTGTATGGCAACAAGACAAAGACTGCAACAATGTTATTAATATTAATGCTGATTTCTTCTGATGTTATTTTAACTACAGTTGATAATTGAGACGGCAGTTGCATTTGTAAGGAAGAAGATGGAGTGTGTCCGTGGTATGATACGATAGACCCAGCAATGAGCACAATTTAGATGTACATGATAAATAAATAATAATTTTTCTTTCAAAGGTGGTAACTTGTGTGCATTTCAACTACTTCACAATATTTAAGTTGGCTGCCATTATAAAGGCTCCTCTCGTTACAAAACAACCTATCAAAATGGATATTCAAATAATGGAATGATGTTTGGTTGCCTTCAAAATATTTAACCAATCATTGTCTTAGGAAACCATTTAAGCCAGTTTTTTGGTGTCTCATTAGCATGTCATTAAACACATTTGTGGTTAAGGCAACACGTGAAGGGAAACTATCCAATTTAGCCAAAAATATTGATGAAATACAAATTGAGGCCATAAAAATGGACACACATAGGTGAGTAGTAGAGGTCGACCGAAATGGGTTTTTCACTGGCCGATGCCGATATTTAGAAATCATGGCAGCCGATGGCCGATATATGATGCTGATTTATTTGGCCGATATGTTTGTCCGATTTTCTTTTTTTTCCCCATTCATCTCATAAAAGTGAGTTTGAGCAAATGATTATTGCAGGGTACAAGATAGTAATAGTAGTAGTAGTAGCCCAATTTAGAGTAATTATACATGGCTCAAAACTTAAGCACCTTCTCAAAACAGTTCTGAAGGATGCTTTTTGTTTATGTTTGCTGACAGACACCAGTGTTTCCCACAGACTGAAAATTAATTCTCTGCCAGCAGGAGGCGCTTTAATTTTTTTTTTTGTAATGGCTGTAATCAAATTAGCGCTGCGAATACAAATGCTACTTTATCAGGCATTAGCATTACAGGAAAGCTTTTCTGAAGACAGTCGGTTCTTTTCAAATATACATTTATATAAAAACACCCGCACTGCATTTTAATTTTGAAACGTGAAGCGCTCATTTTATTCAACAAAGTATAAGCCTTTTGGAAAATCTATTTGTGGCGGTCAGTTTTGATATTGTGACGAGCCGCC